CGGGGGGCGGGAGCCCGGAGGTGAGTGCGGGGCCCCGGCGGGCTGCCCCGCTTCAAGCCAGTCTTTCCACTGAGTTCCACCACCTGCTCTCCGATGCAGCGGGGAGCGCCTTTAGCAAAGGAGAAATCGGTAAAAAGCCCCCCTCTTCTGTGCGTTAGCCTCTTTCTGCCTTTTATTCCGCTCGCGTCGTGGGTATCGTAAGCACTTTGGGGCGCTGAGGCTTTTAAGCGTGCTGCGTTAAATCACGTGCGTCCGAGTAAGCTCTCACGGCGGGAAGAAGGGATAAACACAGATTTGAGAAATAGGGCTGCTGTGGTATGTCAGGACAGGCACTAAAAAGACTTAGTAGCTGTATTTTTCTTTGGCAATTCTAGTCGTTTCTTTTTCGGGTTTGGTTGGGGGGGGATCTTTGTGCTTGAGCAAACCAGTATGGGGAGCAGTCTCTTCTCTTAGACAAGCAGCTCCGGGCTAGAGTGAAGGAGGCTGCTTTGCATAACAAGTCAAAAACTGGGAGAGCTGTCATATAAAATACTGCCTAACTTAACTGCTTATTCTGCCTGCAGTTAAGGAGCAGGTATCCCCATCGAAGGAGAAACACCCCAAAAAGGTAGTAGCGCAACCCCATCGTTGCCAGTCTGGCTTCAGCGATGGCAATTCAAAATGGCTGACTCCAGCCAAAGCCAAGAAAATCCAGTCTGAAGACAACAACGTGGAGTCATCCAGTGATGATGAGGTGGAAGAGGGCACCTGGGAGATGGAGGAGGATGGGAGCAGCGAGGAGATGGTCGATGATTATGGTGCCTCTTCCTCTGAGGAAGAAGAGGTATGAGCTTTTTGCCCTCGATTTTGCAGAAGAAACTTGGCTTTGCTGGCTGTAAGGACCCAGCAGCCCTGGTGGGGAAAGGGTAACTTTACTGGAAGGCTGGATGGCGAGGTGGAGAACAGCTTTATCCTTCTTCCCTTCACAAGAAGGGAATTTTAAGTTAGCAACTGGTCTCAGCAGAACACTCAATGCCTTCATCTGTTGTCCTTTTTAAACAGAGCAGGTATATTTCATAGAGATGGCACAGATTAAAGGGGTAGTTGATACTAGCTGATACTGTTTCATTAATATTTTGTCTCTCTGTTTAGTTGCTGCCCATTGAAAAAGCCGCCCTGAAGCAGAAATCTGATAGGTGAGGATTTGAGAGCGTCAGGGGTCAGCAGAGTCTTTCCTGGTTGGAACACGAGGAGCCTGGGTTGTTCGTTCTTCTGTCATCCAAGAGATGATAGTTGTAAAGTGTCTGAGGAGTCCTGCTATTGTGTAAAAAAACTATATATTTTTTTATACCTAGGGGAGGCCTTAGTGAAGATGACAGTGAAGAGGAAGAGGTGGCAGAAGAGGCAGGCAGGCAGAAGAAGGAGCAGAAGGAAGAAGAGAGTGCGGATCTGCAGCTCAATCTGGATGTAGATGAGCAGTTCAAATTGCCAACTGATGAACAGATTGAGAGAGAGAATATCCTTTTCATCTGTGGCCTCTGTAAACCACGTAGCTGTGCCACTACAGAGCTTGAGTGCAACTGTAGAGCTTCATTTACATTTTATTATGAGCGTTGGTGCCTGACAAGCCGTTTTTAGTTGAATTGCCCTAACAGATAGTGGTAGCTATGTGGTTCTACACCTCTGTACAGCACGGTCAGGGAACCTGTTATTCCCTGTATGGAGCCTGGACCTTGCCCTCAATCTTTTTTTCCAGTCCTAAATGCATGTGGGTGTCTATCGCATAGTTAATTCCCTTCTACCTGGATTCCTGGGTATGTGTTTGTCTAACTCATTCTTAGAGCCTCTGATGACAGCAATTCCAGCATCCAAAGCGCGTGTTCTTGGGCTTAAGTGATCTTTTTCACCTCTTTCTTCTCTACTCTCTCTAATTGCCTCTGGAGAACTTTTAGTCTCCTTTGCGTTACAGGAAATGTTTTCAGTATTGAAAAGCCTTTTCCACGTGTCTTCTTCCCACCCCTTTTCTGCTTTTCTAGACTAACCAAACCGAATTTTTGCAAATACCTTATTTTCCCTGCCTTGTGCGCTTCCTTATCTGGTTGCTATCCTTTGAATCTCCCTTCTGCCTAACTCCAGTGAAAGCGTAGCAAACGATACATGGTAGATGTGCACACTCCAGTAAGGCCTTTCTGGTGCAGGTGCTGTATGCAGTGACTCAGGAGTTTTGCATGACTGGCTGTGCTTTTGAAGGGCCTGCGTGTGAATTCCTTGGTCGTTTACAATTCTTAATGGTCCTTCTACCTGCTGAGCCGCCTGACCTGCACATCATTCACCAGCGCATCAAGAGCAACATGGAGGTGCTGCAGGACTTTGGGGTGAAGCGAGAGGAAGGACGCACGCGACAGGAGTACCTTGCATTGCTGCGCCGGGACATGGCTGCTTACTATTCCTACAGTGACTTCTTGCTCAAGAAGCTCATGGACATCTTCCCACTTCCTGAGGTAGGATGCTGCCCAGCCCATATCTTTACTGACTGGTGGGGATTTGGCTGCCTCCCTAGAACTTCGTTTTTACCTGAAGTTCTCTGGCCCTTCCATCTTCCAGCTGATAAACTTTCTGGAAGCCAATGAAGTTCCTCGCCCAGTGACCATTCGCACCAACACGCTCAAGACGCGGCGACGGGACCTGGCACAGGTGAGCAGAAACCCATGGCTGTCTCCTGCAATGCCTGTCATGCAGGGTGGCTCTGAGGTCTCAGTCCCATCTCTTTGTCTTACAGGCTCTAATTAACCGCGGTGTGAATCTTGACCCCCTGGGAAAGTGGTCAAAAACCGGACTTGTTATTTATGACTCCTCTGTGCCTATTGGTGAGATCACCCTTCCTCTCACAGGGCTTGAGCTGACCCTCTCTCGGCTCCCCTTTTTTCACAGTCATCTTCTTTTGCTCTGCCTTCCCTGTCCAGGTGCCACCCCTGAGTATTTGGCTGGCCACTACATGCTGCAAGGAGCTTCCAGTCTCCTCCCTGTCATGGCTCTGGCTCCACAGGAGAACGAACGCATCCTGGATATGTGCTGTGCCCCAGGAGGCAAGACCAGCTACATAGGTACCTCACTGGAGCCTTTGCCCAGCATCCCTCCCAAGCCTCCCCACAACGTAGTGCGTTTCCCCTGGTCAGGAAAACAGAATGGAACTGAATTCAGGGAAAGGAGGGGTATGATTGTGCCTACGGGCAAAAGCGCGGGAGGTTTTCAGCCCTTTGCTGATGTATTTGGCCCTTTGGCAGCTCAGCTTATGAAGAACACAGGCATGATCTTGGCCAACGACAGCAATGCTGAGCGGTTACGTAGCGTGGTGGGGAACTTGCATCGGCTGGGAGTCACCAATGCTGTAGTGAGTAACTGCGATGGACGCCAGTTCCCCAAGGTATGTTCCTACCTGCTCTGGGTGTTCTTAGCATGCTTACCTAGAGCTGTGCCATCCCTGTAGTAAAGTTCTGCTCCATGAAATCGCTTGTCACAGGAGGATGAGCAGAATTGCAAGGGAGCGTGCTTGTTTGGTGTGGAGAGGGGAGTGAGAGATCTTTCCTGCCTTCCCCATCTTCTGGTTGCACTTCTAGTCTCTGTCTTGGTCTCAGTTCTCGCTCATGAACGTAACTCCAAACGTGCGTCTGCCTGCAGGTGCTGGGAGGGTTTGACCGTGTCTTGCTTGATGCTCCTTGTAGTGGAACAGGTGTCATTTCCAAGGATCCTGCTGTCAAAACGAATAAGGTGAGTGAGCATGGGGACATAAGATGAGGCCTCACACGTGGGTCGTTAGAGGAAAGATTTCCTGGGTAGTTTCATTCTTGGGAAGCGTATGTATTGGCAAAACTGATTTTCCTGCTCCTGTCTTGTGTATTGTACTGGAGCTTTTTTGTGTGTGTGTGTGTGGGGGGGGGTTAGTTCTGCAGAAGACCCCACAATCTTGATGTTGTATCATATGTACCTTGCTCTCCTGTCATCTCTTCATCTACTATAGCGTCCAAAGCCTCAGGTGCTTCCCTGTGCCTCTGTCATCCTAACCTCTATTTCAGGATGAGAAAGACATCCTGCGCTGTGCTCACCTGCAGAAGGAGCTGATTCTCAGTGCTATTGATTCAGTCAATGCTGCCTCAGAGACAGGGGGCTACATCGTCTACTGTACTTGCTCCATCACAGTAAGTCTCCTCCATGCTCTCCGCTCAAGGCACCAGCGAGCTTTGGATCCTAATGCTTAATCTCTGGCAGGTGGAGGAGAATGAGTGGGTTGTGGATTATGCCCTGAAGAAACGCAACGTTCGTTTGGTGGCCACGGGCCTGGACTTTGGCAAGGAAGGTTTCACCAGGTACGTGCCAGGCCACAAGCTGCACGAGTAACTTTATTCCTTGGTGGCCAAGTTTCAGCAGAGGTATTCTAGTATTTCTCACCCCATTTCCTCCTCCAGGTTCAAGGACCGTCGCTTCCACCCCTCTCTCAAGTCTACTCGGCGTTTCTATCCTCACACTCACAATATGGATGGGTTCTTCATTGCCAAGTTCAAGAAATTCTCCAATGCCATTCCCAAGGCACAAAAAGGTAACCTAGTGCTAGAGCTCTACTGAGATGCCTGGGCCTGCTGACACAGGCTGCTTCCCCTGCGGAAGCCGTATGGGTTTCTCCTACAGTACCTTTCTCTCTCCTTTCAGATGAAGAACCTGCTGTGGAAGCAGCAAGTCCTTTGCCTCTCCCTGATACCACTGTGGAGCCTCAGTCAAAAAAGAAGAAACTTGAGGGATCAAAAGTTGCCGAAGGGCAGAAGAAGCCACAGTCTGCTTTGAAGAAGAGACATTCTTTGCAGGCACAGCGCAGACCTGCGAAGGCTGGCCGGCCTTCTCCCCGGATGTTGCGTGCTCGAGTCCCTACCAGGAAGAAGCAGAGAAAGTGAACCAGAACGAACAGTGAGAGGAACTGCTTTTCCAGGTGTCAGTCCCCTCCTTGGAGTGTAAAGGTGGGGAGCTGCCCTGGCTATGTGTGTACCATCTTGACTTTCCTGCTCTGTGCAGACAATCACTGCAGTAGTCAGAGCCTGGGACAGCTATTGTGTACTCCTTTCCTTCCTCTACAACAAGGACTGGCACTGACCTATTAAAAGTTTTATACTCTTACTCAAATCTTGTCCTTTTCCCTCGAGTGTTGAAGACAGGATTCTGCTATGTCCGTTTACTTCTGTGCCACAGAAATCCCTTCCACTCCCATCTGATGCTCTCACGTTTTCAGCATCTGTCCTCGCTGCTGTTGCTGTTCTGCAACTGAAATCCTAGCTGCTTGGAAGATGGTGATGGCACTCGGTGCCTGGGTCAACAGAGGGCTTCAGGCAGGACTGGAGCTCCTACTCCTAGGCCAGCGCTCCTGCGTTCATCCCCAATTCTCTGTCATCACTGTGTCCTGTTCCAGTTCACCCTTGTGCTTATCTCCAGCCATCTCTTGGTTCGTGGCCTCCTGGACTGCAGTAGGGATCGATGCTGGTCCTGGTGCTATGCAGTCAGGTTCTGCGTCTTTGCCTTTATGTCTGCCTTCTAGATGTGGTTGCTTCTCCTTGAGACATAACAAGCAGTAGCCTATTTCTATTTAAATGTCAGCCCAGGTCCCTTTCCCTTGTCAATGTAAGTTTTTTCTTCTTCTTCTTCTTTTTGTTCTGCTGTCTGACCAGTGAATCTCTCTTTTCTGAGAGACAATCTATTAGTAAACTTTCTACCAAGCACGCTCTCCAGCGTCCATTCCACGACAGTGTGCGGGGAGTGAGATATGTAACAGATCTAAGGCCTAATTCTTGTTTCTTGTAATTATTGTTTTGCTAACTTACTTCACATGATGTTGTACCTTGTTTCCCCCTCTCCCCCAAGCTTTGGGTTCATGGGAAAACTTGATGTGCTAGAACAATCTTTTGTGATTGGTATAAAGCATAATTGAATGCAGTGGAACATAGGAGCTAGGGGATTCTTCCTCTCCTGATCTGCTAGATGTGAAGCTGCTGCTTTTCACTGTTGCCAGGTTCAGCAAGGAGTGAGGCTGAGTAAATTCCAGTGATGCACACAACATGCACGCGCATAGTATATACACAGCCAGCCACAGGCAAACCAACACAAACAGGAGACAAGTGTCAACAGAGGCCCATGGAAACACAAACAGTACTCAAAACATGAGTGGCAAAAATGGCATAATCCTGGTTTACTTGCTGTTCTATCAAACTTAGGGGTTACTAGTGGATCTTATGTATCAGCACATACACGTGCACACGCAGTTTCACAGATTTCTCTGGTAGCTGGTCATCAGACTTGTGGTCTGTCTGGTATCTGCCTCTCAGCAGACCTCTTGTCCTCCTTATTGGTGGTCGCGTTTGAAGTTTGCTAGCAGATTACAAACGCACATAAATGCAGAGAAAATGATCATCAGTCTGTCCTGCCTGCTCATTAAGCTCTATTTCTGACTAAGTGCAGGGCTCAGCCAGACAAGCATGCTAACCAGCAGCCAACTTAAAGGTGTTCGGTCCTTGTTTCTTCCTCCTTTGTTTTCCCAGGCTCATTCCTCCCTATCTAATTTGATGCTTCCCTTTCCCCACCTTTGATCCTTCCCCTAAACATCCCGTAATAAGTTTTGCTCCTGTAATCTTCCTTAGGAGTTCTGCTCTCTGTTACTTTTGTTATGGAAACAGTTTGACCCTAGGTTTCCGAGGAGCAGAGTCTCACGGACGTCTAGCAGCAAAATTAATTAATTATTTAAATGACGGTACAGCAAAGTAACAGCTTGAGTGGGGTGCCTCCGGGGAGGGACCCCGAACAAAGAAGTTCTGGGGTAATTATACTCCTTACAGTCTTATTTCCCCACCTGCCAGTGACAGCCTCTTCCCGTCTTCTTGACTGAGTCAGTGGTCTCTTTCCTTTTGATTGGTTCACGTCTACATCCCGAGACAGGACGGCTGCTGTGTTCACAGTGCCTTATCTTATCCAAAGGTTAACCGTTAGCTCTATCCATTGTGTTCTGTATCTTTGAGGGCTGGTTCTAGCTGGTTTTGCAGTCACATCCTCAGCAATGTCTCTCGAGCTCGTTCACAATTCACTCCTGTGGCCTGCAGGCTTCATCTACTTTGGGCAGTAGTGCTAAGCTGGGCTAGGGCTAAATTAACTCCCTTTTCTAACACTTTCTCTGTTATCTTTTGTTTATTAGGGTTTGTGTGTCTGTCTGTTTTAACTTATTACATCTCTCGTTTCTTGTCTTTTTATGTTGAGTAGCTGTTAACCAGGTATCCTTGCAGCTGGAAATAATTTTTCCCCATGCTTGACAGTGAATTAGCACAGGGAGGATCCTTTGAATCAATGCGTTTCACTTCAGGCTTGTGGGGCTAGTTCTCTGGAGTGCCTTATATATATAGGGCCTGAGAGAGGTTTTTCCAGGGTCTTTCCAGGAAAAAAAAAAGTTGGATGCTACTAGGAAAGGAATTATTGGACAACAAAATGGAGAAAATTATTAGAGCCTCCCCCCCACCCCGGGTTGAGACTCGGGAAGTCGTTCAGCCTCAGTGGGGCCACGGAAATTCCTGAAAGGGTGGATGGGGGTGTAACCCCAAAATCCCAAGGGTGCAACCAAACTGTGGTCTGCCCCACCGTTGGTTGTAAGGCGAGGCCGGGCCTGCCCTTTAATCCAAACCTCTCGCACGGCCCCATCCTGGCGGCTGGTGC